CCCCCCCCCCCGGGTCCAGTAGACCGGAACCGAAAAAATACCAGGGTTGTTTTGCACACCCCTATGGCCATCTAGCTGAAATGATAGCTTACGCTGGAATGAATGAATCAAGTGAATAAAAATAAAACTGACAGGTGACTCAGTTCTCTCTAATTGGCGTCCATTGTTCAAGTTGCTAATAACATTGGTCTTCTAGGTATTTGTTTATCTTTAAAATGTGTGGGCCACTTTGCTTGTCTGTTGCTCATCACAGAACAGCAGTAAACAGCCATATAATTAAGAGGCAGAAATCCAGTAGTGAAAACCAGCAGCCATAAAACTTTGCAAAATAAAAAATGTGAAAAGTGTGGTGTTGTGGTTAAATTGTTGGACTCAAATCTGGAAGACCTATGACCTCAACTGCGCCATGGGTGACCCAGTCAGTCAGTCAGCTGCAGGGTTGTTGTAAAGAAAAAATGGAGGTGAGGAGAGCAATGTAAGTTGCTTTGGGTCCCCATTGGGATAAAAGATGGGATATCAATGAAGTAAATAAGTAAAATTTTAAAAGCCCCACAGTTTTACATTTGATAATATACACAGCTTTTCAAATAGAGAGTGCTTAGTGAAGGTATAGCATTTCACAATCCATTACATAAAGGTTAATCTAGGTTACAAAAGGAGATTTCCCATGTGTGTTGAAACTTGGAGGACTTCCTTGAGCTCTTAAACATTTTGGACATTGTCCAAAATAAACCTTCTTTGCCTGTGTCAAGGTATGACCCATCAGTGATGATTAAACATAATTTTTCTTTCAAAAACAGTAACCGGGGGAATTAAGGCTGAAATGCCTGTCCTTTCCTTTGTAAAGGCGAGGCTTTATAGGATGATAACACTTTTAGTGCATACTAAAACACACAATGCTAAAATGTTATTCATGTAAACATCTCCGAAAGCGCCACTTTTTGAATAGGGCTCTATGTGTGTATGTGTGATTCGTCATTTATCATGCCATCTTATCCACTGAAGTGCGGTGTCAAATGTTAGTTTTTTTACATCAGATTTTCTGTTGCTGATGTAGTCAGATATACTGTGACCATGTTTGCTTGCTCCATAGCGAGAGGAATCGGCAGTACCAGGGCTTTTTTTTGTAGAAAAAGGCCAGCAGGAACTCATTAGCATATTAGGCCACACCCCTGACAGTGCAGCTCATTAGTATATTAGGCCGCACCCCATGCATTCCCTTGGCAGCTGTGGGAAGCCCGAGCAAGCCAGCCCTTGAAGGGAAGGGAAGGCAGTTTCCCTTGGCTGCGGGGCACCTGGGCAAGCTGGCCCTTGGAGGAGTGGGGAGGCTCGGGGAGGCATTTAAATGCCTCCCCGATCCTTCCAGGCCCCCCCGGCCCCCCTCCTCAGAGTAGCCAGGGGGTCACTCTCCAGGCCTTCCCTCTGTAGCCACACATGCGCAGAGGTTTTGGCTGTGGGCGTGGCCAACTCTGAAGCCAGCCGGAACTCCGTTCCTGTGTGTTCCTGCCCAAAAATAGCTCTGAGCAGTACACTACAGTTTGGGCCTTGGTTTACCAGCCGTTACTTCTGTACTTCTTCTATTGATTTTAGTGGAGCTTGTGTGGGAGCCTTGCATAAGTACTTTGAAGAAACACATTTTTTCTTTGGAGATCTGAAATGAGCAAAACCTTCACTCTGAGTTTTAAAAGGTCCCCCCACCCCGGGTGGAGAACAGGCAGGAAGGGGGGAAGTCAATTCAATTGCTTTCTGGACTTATCTCAGCCCACCTTCATACAAATGCTAATAGGTGTAGACAATGAGATGGTCAAACTCCCCCCTCCCCCCCAAAGCAGGGAACAGAGATTTGGAGGAATTAAATAACAGAGAGACTTCAGGAAGGAAATTCTGGTGACTTCAGGAAAAGCTTTTCTGACTTGGCCTGACCTGATCAGTGGGTGAAGAAAAGAGAAGTGATAAAACTCAGGGGAGCAAGGAGGAGGTTCTCTTTTTGGTGCTGAGTCCATCAGAGCAGACAATTCTTAACTGAGTTTGCAGGAGGCAGCCATTATCCATGTGCTATCCTGGATTGCTGGAGAAAGCTTCAAGGTAAATGGCAGCTCTGTAGGGATCTGTAGCTTCCTAAGCTAAGGTGCCTGTCCTATATTTTAACATCTGATAGGGCATGTATAGAGAGAGGGACAAAGAAATTGTGTTTTACCAATTTCTTTTGAATCCCTTGCTCAATCTAGTGCTGTGCTAAATGTATGCTTGTGAACATTTTCTTTTTAATAAATACTTTATAACTTTTGATACTAGTAGTGGTTCTCTGTACCTCATAGACCTCCACCATCTTAGACACACTATATTTTAAAAGGAGCACCAGGGGGAAGGCAGGCAGTTGGCAAGTGGCTATTCCTCCAGGGGTGCACAATGCAGTAAACTGTCCCCATGGTGATGAGGCACTGGGCAGTGGGAGATACAAAGGCAAGGCTTCGGATCATGGAAGGGAAGCTGGGAGACCTGACCCTCCCAGTGGGCAATCCCTTACAAAGGTCAGGTGGTTAGTGGTGGGTTACCCAAGAGAAAAAGAAAAGACTCTCCAACTGTTGGGAAAACCTTGGAGGGTGGGGTGGAATGGGGCCTGTAGGCCGGAGCAGGCCCATTCTGCCACAAGCACCATGGAATAATATGGTGGATAATACTATTCAGTGATATCTAGATCATATCACACTTTAAATGTAATGGCAAATCTTGGTTTGGCATTGTAGAGGAGGAGCCATGGCTCAGTGGTAGAACTATCTGCTTTGCAGGCAAAAGATCCCAGGTTCAATCCCCAGCATTTCCAGTTAAAAGGATCAGGTAGTAGGTAGTTAGGGAGAACTTCTGTTGGCCAGAGTAGACCATACTGACCCTGGTCAGGTGTGAGGCAGCATCATCTATATATATAAAAGAAAGTCCCCTCACCGTAAAATCAACGCCCAGACCAAACAGCTGGAGCTAGAGACACCAGATTCAGGGAGGGTGCTCCTACCGTGGCGTAGGTGCTTGCTAAGAAGGGATTTTTAGAAATTTGACCCCTAAGTGGGTCAAAAGGGGGGAAATGTGCTCCCCCCTTGATTCCTATGCGGCTGCCAGGAAGCTGCCTCTCTGCACCCCCCACTCTCTGATTGGTCAGCTGCAGAGATCAGTGTTCTGAGGTAAAAAAACTACACAGTGCTAATGATAGTTAGGCCCCAGGGCCCGCGCCAAAGTGCTGGGGCTGTGGGGAGACGTGGAGAGCCCCGCAGCCGGGTCTCCTGGGCCCACGCCGAAGCACTGGGGCCAGGGAGAGGTTCAGGAGTTGACTTAACAGACGGCTGCTTCTTAAATGTTGCCTGCTCCAGAGTGAGCTCAACAAGCAGCCTGGTGATCGTAGCACTTGAGGGCAGAACCACCAGTGTGGTCTACAGAGAGGTCCTTCAGTAGAGGGGAAAAAAGTATGTATGTCTCGCTTCATTTTTTACGCTACAATCTTCTCCATTAGAATTCCTACAACAAGTGTTACATTTCAGACTTCATATCATATTATAACCAGGGGTCTTTTGGGGCCGGAGCATGCCGGAGCGCTGCTCCGGCAGCCCAAGAACCCACACAAATGGCAGTGGCGGCACGCCCCGACTCCAGCTCCCCGCGCCGAAGCGCAGGGTCCAGGGGGAGGCACAGAGAGCCCTGCAGCCGCGCTAAAGTGCTGGGGCTGTGGGGAGGCGTGGAGAGCCCCGCAGCTGGGTCTCCTGGGCCGACACTGAAGCGCTGGGGCCGGTGGGAGGCATGGAGAGCCCCGTCGCCGGCTTCCCCCAGCCCACGCCAAAGCGCAGGGGCCAGGAAAGGCGCAGAGAGCCCCGCAGTCGGGTGTCCCACGCCGAAGCGCTGGGTGCGGGGGGAGGTGCGGAGAGCCCCACAGCTGGGTCCCCCGGGCCCGTGCAGAAGTGCTGCGGCTTGGGGGTGGCCTGGAGTGCCCCGCTGCCGGCACCGAAGTGGTAAGTAAGGGATCCGCGGGGGTGGGGGTGGGAGAGCCTCCCTTCCTCCATCTCTTTGCCATCTTTTCCTCCTTTTCTTTTTTTCTTCTTTTGTTTCCCTTCCTTCCTTCCTTCCTCTCTTTTTCTCCTTTCCTTCTCTCTTTTTCCTCTTTCCATCCTTCTTCCCTTCTCTCTCTCTCTTTCTTTCTTTTCCACCTTCTTCTCTTCTCTTTTTCCTCCTTTCCCTCTTTCCTTCCTTCTTCCCTTCTCTCTCTTTCTTTCCCTCTTTCCTTCTCTCTTTTTATCCCTCCTTCCTTCTTTCCTTCCTTATTTCCTTCTCTTTCTTTCCCTCTTTCCTTCCTTTTCCCTCCTTCTTCTTTTTTCCTCCTTTCCCTCTTTCCATCCTTCTTTCCTTCTCTCTCTTTCTTTCCATCCTTCTTTCCTTCACTTTCTTTACCTCTCTCCTTCTCTCTTTTTATCCCCTCTTTCCTTCCTTCTTTCCTTCCTTCTTTCCTTCCTTCTCTTTCTTTACCTCTTTCCTTCCTTCTTTCCTTCTCTCTACTCTCTCTCTTTCCTTCCCTCTTTCCTCCTTCTGTGGCCCAACTCTAGTGAGAAGAGGTTTAAACTTTAAACCCCGTCTCTCTTCGCTACCCCCCTGCGTGCCAGGTGGGGAAGGGAAGGGGAGGCTTTTGAAGATGCCTCTCCCCTTGCTTCCCCTTCTGACATCACTTCCGGTGATGTCAGGGGGTGTGGCATATGCTAATAGCCCTGTAGCTTATTAGCATACCATATGCTAATGAGCTCCTGCAGCTCTTTTTCTACGAAAAGACCCCTGATTATAGCTGAATTTACAGAATTTAAATACTGTAGTGAAGCATGAGTATCAGGCTAGTGTGTTCATATGTGAGCCTTTGGTTTTCTCCACTCCAGTTCACTTTCCACATTTTGGTTCTTGGCAAACTGTCTTTTGCTCTTCTTCTAGAACCAGGCACACTGTGGTTTGATTGTAATTTCTAGTTCCGGTTTATGCACACAGTGTTTGGCAATGAATTCATTTTGCGATTTGTGTATTTTGCTGATTTGTTCAGGTGTTAAGGAACCTCCCAGATGTAGCTTCCCAATGTTAGTTGCACACCTATAGTGAAGGGGCGCAGGTATCCTGCTGAGCATGCTCAGCTTTTAGGGCAGCATTGCTGGCAAGGTGTGTGCATCTGCCATGGAAAACAATGTCAAGATGTGAACTGTGTAGGTACAGAGTAGCACATAGCTGAAAGAAACTTCTAGCATAGTTCTGTTGAATTAGTCTAGCCTGACCATTGAAATTAGTTGACCTAGGCTGGAGTTACCTGTGTAGGATTTGCTTCATGTGTTGAGCTTGTATTTGTATATCTCACTTGTTGTTTCAGAGGCTGATGAGTGGGTGCATTCACCCACTTTTCAAGCTCCATTTAGTGGGTTTCTTTTTCTCCAATCACTCTGATGAAATCTCTGTGGAATTGTTTTGGTTTCCATGTGAACACAGATCTCATATCTCGCGTCCTGTTGATGCGGTGGCCAAGACACCAGTTATAGCTCCCACAACTCTTGTGGATTTTTCCACAGTGAGTTTCTTTCTACCATTCTTTCAGTTTGGAGCAGAAGTAATCAGTAACAATAATCAATTGTAATAATAATAATACACTATTGATTACTGTTCTGATTACTGTTTGACGACTGGGAATATCCCACAAGCAGAACTGCCCCATACTCTTCTACTCTTGCATGCAACCCCCCTTTCATTTTTAGAGCTAGCTGTGGCAGAGAGTTATAGCAGCACTAGCATTTTCTTATCTGTGGTTAATGCCGAACTGCAGTGTGCAATCCTATGCCTACCCATAGATGAGCTATACTGTGGAGCTAACTGTGGCTAACAAAGATACCAATGGAGATATTAATGAAGGGAAAGGAATGCCGATGGGAGGAGAGAAGAAGGTATGCGCAGGCCTGCTGGCAAAGAGATTGGGCAGCAGTGGGCATGCTAGAGGAGAGACAGCTCTGTCTTGGGAGAGGGTCTGTGGCTCAGCGGTAGAGCCTGTGCTTGGCATGCAGAAGGTCCCAGGTTCAATCCCCGGCAACTTCAGTTAAATGACCAGGCTGTAGGTGATGTGAAAGATCTTCTCCTGAGACCCTGGAGAGCCACTGCCAGTCTGACTGAGTAGACAAGACTGACTGTGATGGACTGATGGTCTGATTCAGTATAAGGCAGTGTCACATGTTCATATATCCCTGTGAATCCATCACGGCACATTTAGGAAGTTTAAAAATAAAATCGAAGACACAACTTGGCTTAAATTGAAGTTCCTTACTGAACTAGGAAGATTTTAATTAAGCATCACTCCACATAGTATCAGACAGTGTACTTTGTTGTGTCCCTGCAGTGTCTGGACACTGATGAAAGGTAATTAAAGCTTTGATCGAAGCGCATATACATGCATTTGGGCAGAGCCTTGTGCTGAACCTATGCTTCCTTTGAAATGTATTTCGCAGTGGCTCCAACAATCAGCTTTATATAGTTCAACAGCAGCAGCTTTGTCTCTTGGTCACTGTAACCTGCTGCAGGTATGCCTCAGGGCTTTGTTGGGATCATGCCCTTTTTTCCTCAGGGAAAGATCTCGGATTTTGACTCATGAGTCACAAACAACTTATGCTACCGATAACCATACAACAATTTCAATTTATTGCAAGGGTTTGACAAGAGATCCCATATCTATATCTATATATATCTATATATATAGCCTTAGGAGGATGCTACTTCTGATTACTGACTTGTAGCTTTACCTTCCATCTGTTGCAGTCTGTCTCCAGTGTATAAATAAAATACTAGGTTACATTTGAAGTAACATTTGAAGTTGCTTTATGTGCCTAAAGTAAGTTCATTCAGGAAAAAAATGGATTGTGTAAAATAGTATAGGGGCAAGGAGGAATTTATAAATAATACAGGGGTCCTTAAAAAGCCATTGTATACTTTTTGATTTGCATATTGCTCCATAAACATATCTGTTGTTAACTTATTGGCTGAAAGGTGGATATTACATAATCCCTGATACATTAAATCTGTGTTGTACAAGAAATGACACAAGAAAGCAATATTGTTTTGCCTTGTATTGTTCACATATGTTTCAGTAATGTTTGGGAGCTGTTCAGATATATATATATATATATATTTAATTCTGAAGTTCACGGGCTATTTGTAATGAGTCCACATCTCCTCTCCTACAGTCATGGGATAGTAAAGATACTCTTGCATATGTAGTTGACATTTTAATATTCTGTAGTTACTGTTCCATCAAGTTTCTTTACTTGTATGTCTTTATAATACTGTTTTAGACTTTGGCCTCAGCAAAGAATCTGTCGATCAAGAAAAGAAGGCCTATTCTTTTTGTGGTACTGTGGAGTACATGGCACCTGAAGTTGTAAACAGGCGAGGCCATAACCAGAGTGCTGATTGGTGGTCATTTGGGGTTCTTATGGTACTGTAAATTTCAATACCTAACTTTACATAATGTTCAGATGTACTTCTTGGTGTTGCTTAGGGAATTTTAACTCAATGTGCGAGCTTTGACAGTTGTTTGTTATGTTGCTGAGGTTGTATTCTGAATAAAACTTTTCGGTTTTTAATGGGGTTGTATTTCCTAGATTGGACTAAAAAAAAATCCCCTCATTTCATAAACTAGTTGAAAATTCTGTAATCTTTAGAACAGTATTAGACACAGAAAACCATACGAGGCTGGATCCTGCAGATCCATTCCATTGCCAGTAATACTTCCAATACAAGTGTCCTTCCCTTGACTCTGGAGTCTTTTTCATCAGGGTATCTCCTTGTGCCAGAGGAAAGCACAACTAATAGTGGAAATGGCATGTGGGATCCAACTCAACAAGTTCCAGTACAGTATGGTGGTTGAAAGAAGAATATTATATGCCTTTATATGTTTATGGTGGTAATCTATAACACAGACTCCCAAACAGTTTGAAACTTCCACATTTTTCTCATCTGAAATACTATTTTAGCAGATTCCCACTGAACTTACTTTTATATTTTAACCAGCAGCACACAGGCTTACCAAAACTCTTTAATATAAACACCTTTTACTGGCTATTTAGAAATCTCATTATTATTTTTTAATGTTAAGTGATTAGTCTTCATACTTCTTAACTATTTGGGTTTTATTTTTTCTAGTTTGAAATGCTTACTGGTACACTGCCATTTCAAGGCAAAGATCGAAATGAAACTATGAATATGATACTCAAGTAAGTATATACTAAGTTTCTTGCAAAGTGATGTACTGGGGGGGTCTTGTCAAGTGTGGTGTGAGCCTTCAGTGCTTAGTTCTGAGAAAGGAGGGCGCTTGCATCTTTGTGATACGGGCTCTTAATTGTCACAGGGAATGGAGACAAAATCTTGCAAGTGACCCTGTCAAAAGAATAGCCAGCTAATGAAAGTACTGTGGGGTGTAATATTTCTAGTGAGTTGGATTGACTGGAATGGATTAAACAGGAAAATGTTATGTTGTATAAATTGTAATATGGAAATTAAATAATCCCTCTGGGATTATTTGGATTGAACTGCATACATTCTTGTCCCATTTAAAAGTATACTGCATAATTTGCAAACTGCTTGCTCTGAATTAATCTCAGCTGATTTGATTGCTGAGTGCATTTTGACAGAATACTGATTTTTCCCCCCTAGAGCAAAACTTGGAATGCCACAGTTTCTAAGCCCTGAAGCGCAAAGTCTTCTGAGAATGTTGTTTAAAAGAAATCCTTCCAATAGGTTAGGTAAGTATCACTATACTTTACAGAAACTAATGCACTGCCATCTTTTGTAGTCTTCAGAGAACACATATTTTTACAGAGCAAAACTGTAAAGGTAGGATGGCTAAAGATGCTCTTGAACCAGGCACCTCTATGACTTTTATAAGTGATTTTACATAGAGCCATCTTTTTGCTTCATTAAGAGTTGTGGCATAGGACATAATTCTATATTGCCTTATTTAGTTTCACAGCAATCTTGTGTGGGGTCACAGTTAATCCAATTGGACAGTTAAGAAAGTGAGGCAGACAGAACTTTCCCAAAGCTGCCTAAGCAGAGATCTGAGCAAGGTCCAAGTCTGATACTGCTTCCATTGGATTACATTGACTGTAGGTCTAAAGGACCTTAATTCCATTTAATGTGATCTTGCACTATCCGTTAAGTAATTCAGTGTTGTCCTAAATACCTTAGCTGCCACAGAAGAGTCGGTATCAAAGAGGAAAGAAAGTTTCGTATAGGACATAAAAAATGAAAATAGTGTTTACAACCTAACCCATCATGCTGCTGTAGCACCTTGCCTCTTCTGGGTTCTAAAACTGCTGTGCTAATCTGTTGGTGGTCTTGCCTAGTGACATGATCCATTATATGCTGGAGTTGTGCTTAGGGGTGTGCATTTGGATCTACCCAAGCCGAAAACATCAATATTTTTCGAGTATATTTCAGCATCCCAGATGTATCTGGGTTTACTTGGGAAAACAAAACAAAAATCTCCCCAAAAATCCTGGATATATTTGGGAATTACTGGGTAGATTCAAAAACTGAAGAGAGGCAATAGCAGATTGTTCCCGCCTCGCAGCTGTTTGTCAGGTTTCTACTGTAGTAGTTGTGCTTGCAGTAATAAAGAAGAGCCAAGGAAGAATTGTTTGGGCTACATTAGGAAGAATGCATCACTTCTGGTGACAACCTTTTATGGGCACCTTGAAGCCAAAGGGGCTAGGGAAGCCCTGTGCCAGCCCTTGAGTAAGGTCTTGGGGAGAGGGTGGTTATTGGGATACCATGGCAGCGGAGGCAACACAAGCTACTGCCTGCTACCCTTGTTAAGAGGATGCCGAGTCTTTATGCTGCAAGGCAGGATATAGATTCACCTGTGTTTAACTGAGTACAGCAAATAAACTGGTTATTCTGGAATTGCAGCCTACTGAACTTCCGTTCAAGCAACTGAAGACAAGTTGTGTTCAACTTGTGATGAATCAGTCTGTTTCATCATAACTGGCCACCATTCAATAATGTAGCTCATGCAGTTCATGTGACTGCTTTAGTTGATAAGAGTTTCAGGAAATCCTTTCATATCTCTACATTTCTGATCTATCATACAAAGTAATGAAATAGCATGCAATGCAAAAGTAGGGCAACATATGGAAAGATAAATGGTGCTAGCCTGCCTTTGAGGATGACCACTTTGATTTGTAGTGGTGAGGGAGAGAGGAAAGGGTCTGTGCTCACAGCATCCTTTTCCCTTTGTTTCATTTTAGTTCACCTTGTAAAACAGGCCTGGTCCATATGAGGGTAATTTGAGATTTTTATTTCATTGGATTCAAATGTGCCGCTCTGTATGTGGAAGGCATCTTCCATTCACAGAAGTATGGTTTAGTTGCAGCTTTGCCTGAGAAAAAGGAAATTAAATCCAAAGACGTGCAAGCTCTTCCACAGAGGAAACTTTTGAGCAAGTGGAAGCTTGAAAGTGACTGTGGGATATTGTATAACACTGCATGAATTCTTGCACAACTATGCACAGGACAGCATTAGCTGTTCTTTCTGCTCCCTCTTTGTTGGATCCAACCCGTTGTCATTTTAAATGCTTTAGGTAGAGTTGAGAGCATGAGTCTGAGGGATATAGAACAGATCTGTTGGCTGTACAAATACTGATCATATATTTTCCTCCCGGCTTTGATACTATATTGTGCAATATTCCCCATATGAGTGAATTTTGTGAATTTTATGCTGAAGTTAGAGAAACCATCTTTGATTCTGATTTCATTTTAATATTTCTTTACATTCATATTTGATTTGCAGTAGTTTCATATTTTGTATCCTCTGTAATTACAGGGGCTGGTCCTGATGGAGTGGAAGAAATTAAGAGGCATCCCTTTTTTTCTACCATTGACTGGAATGTGAGTGCACTAAGGATGTCTATTGCAGTGTTGTTCTAATGATCTTCTGTTCTTAGAACTTGGTAGAAAGGGAAAATATACTGAACAAGAGGGGGACCTGCGATACTTGCGGGGGGGAGAAGAGCTCCGTCTCCTCCATCCCCCCCCGCTCGATCTCCCCGATTCGGCGGCGGCGAGGCCGGTCCTCCCCCCCCCGCCCGGCTCCGAGGAGGCGGCGGCAAGGCCAGCTACAGAGCGTTCCCTGCGCATGCGCAGGGGACGCTCTGTCACTTTCGGGGGGATTTAAACACCCCCCTGAAATTTTTTTCAACTTTTTTGATTTTTGTGCACAAACCTCCCCCTCCCCCCCAACTGCCCCCGGAGCACGGATTTAACGATTCGCACTCACGGGGACAACTAGGCTATTAGTATATAGATTATTATTATTACTGATGGAGGACAGAGTATCCCCTCACATGCCAGCAGGCTCAGGATGGATGCAGAGGATCACTACATCACACATGACTCCAAACCTCTTACTCACCTTATTATAGAGCTTGATGTTAGTACCAGGCGTGGTGGCGGAGCGCGGATTTAGCGATCCGCACTCACGGGGGCAACTTCGCTATTAGTATATAGATATTTGTAATCATTTTGGATTTAAAGAAGAAGAAAAAAATTAAGGGAGATGTATTAGAGTTTAAAACAAAGTAGAAGATGTTTTCCTTCATTTATAGATGGCTCACAGTAAACTCCTGCAGTGTTTTTTGGATCCCATCATGATAGTTAGGCAGATGATAAGCAGTAGCCCCTCAGAAGCAGACTAACAGTCTTCAGGAAAGATTCAGGTGGGTAGCTGTGTTGGTCTGCAGCAGCAGAACAAGGTTGAGTAAAGTTGTACCTGAAGTGTGCATGCACATGAAAGCTTATATCTTGAATAAAACTTTGTTGGTCTTAAAGGTGCCACTGGACTCAGACTTCAGTCTTCAGGAAAGCAAGCCATTCCTAATATAATTTCTGTTATTCAAATAACAATGATAATGAATTAAAAATAAACTAAAAGAAATGAAACAAAAGGTCAGGAGCAGAACAGGCAGCTGCTGCTAGCCTGATGTCATCTTCCTCCCACTCCCGAGATGTTTCAGTTCAGCTTTAAAAAAGAAGAAGTGTTCACTTTCCCCCATGTTCTAGGACTTTGGAGATAAACCAGTCCTATCTGAATGTTGCCTCACTTTGTGGATTTGTTCACTCTGCATTTTTGGCCATGTTCAAGATTAGAGATAACAAGCAGGGAACCTGCAAGGACATCCCATTTTCCTGCCCTCCACTATTCCTTCCCATAGCAGCCCCCATAGCATCTCCCCCTTTCCTGCTTCCTTCTCTCCTTCCTATGCACCAGCCAACCTACCTATATCTGCCTTTCCCTCCTCTTCTCCTAGCAGCCTCTACCTAGCAAAACTATGGCTGAGTTGCGCAGTGCTGGTTGCCTGGCTAGGCCCAGTTGCACGGTAGGAAACCTGTAAAGACTTTGGGGGGGGGGGAATTTTCCTTCGTGTATCCCCTTCTCCACACTATTTCCTCTTTCCTTCCCCCGGAACCCCCAAACCCTCACCTTTCCCTGCTTCCTTGTCTCTTTCCTGTCCACCCACCAGTCTCTTTTATCTCCTCACCCCATCTTCGGTTATATTAATTATTTCATTTATACCCCAGCACTCTCCACAATGGTGACCCAAAGCAGCTCACATCTTTCTCACAGCAACCCTGTGAGGTAGGTTAGGCTAAGAGTGTTACATAGTGAGCTTCCACAGCAGAGTTGTAGTTTGAACTGGGGTCTCTCAGATCCTAGGCTGAGACTCTAACCACTGCAGCATACTGGCTTTCATGGATTGACTGATGTTGAACAGTAGAAAGTAGCAGGTCCTGGGTTAGCCATGCAAGTTGAGTGGTAGCAATTCACCTAATGGTTGCTTTCTGGCCTGGCCCCAATGAGTCCTCCCTCAAAGGCCAAAACAGCCCTGGAAAAGGCCCTGGCTTCCCCTCCTGCCCTTTTCTGATGGAAACCAAAGCTTGAATGCTGGCAGTAATGTTATTGGGGCCTAACCGTAACGCACGTGGTCACTGAGGGCATTCATTTCTTAAAGCTCAAATGCTTTTTTGGGTCTTTTAACCTCCCCAATGTATTTCTTTTAGAATATTTCTGATTTTTCTGCAAACCTGTGGCTTTTTTCAGGGTTGTAGAAATATCTATCTTGTTCATTCATGATTCCATTATCTGGATTTAAGTATTCACAGATTTGGCCATATTGAGAATTAGATACATTGACGATGCTGTATAACTTTATGAGGATTTAAAAGAGAAATATTTTTAAAAAGGTTATAGTGGGGAAAATAATTTATCAAACCTACTAATACAATCTAAAGTCTAGGCTGCAATTAAATACATTTGTTTGTGATGAGAGCAGGCCTTGGAACCCTTATAGTCACAACAGTCTGTAGTTCTCTGAGAAAAATAATACTTTGTGGGTATTATATCAATTCCAGAAATTATACAGGAGAGAGATTCAGCCCCCATTTAAGCCTGCTTCTGGAAAACCTGAAGACACGTTTTGTTTTGATCCAGAATTCACAGCAAAAACACCAAAAGGTAAAAAAAAAAAAATCCAGGAGGGTTTGATCGAGAATTTTCTCTTCCCCTTCCCTTCTGAATTCACAACATAACTTTTCTAATGTGGCAAAATCTGTTACGAATTGGAACGTGTCAAATCTGCTGAAGAATAGTTATAATCACCTGTTCAGCTATATTTATCATGTGTATTTGCCTTCCCTTTTAAAGATGCTTCTGGCTTCTGCCTAATATTTATCCCTATGAAATTTTGTTCTTGTTAACTTTGAAAAACAGATCTTGGAATTCATGCAGCGTAGTTACATTTTTGTCATTGTCGTGTATGCATATAATTCTGTTAAATTCTTGAATGTAACTGGATAACCTTTAGATTTGGTATTATCCTAAAGATATAATATTGATTGCCTAACAGTGTGAATTTAACCACCAGATTCTCCAGGAGTTCCACCTAGTGCTAATGCACATCAGCTCTTCAAAGGCTTTAGCTTTGTTGCAGTTACTGCCATAGAAGACCACAAAATCTCCCCCCTCAACAACATATTGCCAATAGTACAGGTAAAGATATCTTCCCCACTTTTAGTTCTGCGTAACTTTATTTCTATTGAAACAAAAAAAGTCAACTTATGTAGTGACATTTGATTCACCATAGCTGCTTGTTAAATAAATCTTTATGTAATGTGCATCTGTGGTTCTTGGTAAATATTGATGCCCTACAGGAAGCAAAGAAAAACTGGAAATACAGACTTGTTGGACTATTGTCTAAATTCTAAGAGCCATTTCACACATCCACCCTGCTGAGGATGTGGAGCATGTGCACACCTCTTTGCCATTTGTAAACATTTGAATAACTGTGTGATGCAGGTGCTGTACACATTCAGACAGTCAAACTATCAGTTGTCAAGCTGTACCAAAATGCTGTGATACTGGTCTGCATTCAGATGTTGCAGTGAACTGTGGTTTGTAAATCATGGCTTGATCATACTCTGGTTGTGACATTCAAATGTACACGTCCTAAACAAACTGAAGCGAGCAGTGACTCATGAAAGCTCATACCCTGCCACAAATTTTGTTAGTCTTTAAGGTGCTATTGGACTTTTGCTCTTTTCTACTGCTACAGCCAGCCTAACACAGCTACCCATCTTGGTCTGTCTCCATAGTACTTAGTTGGATAACCACAATTTGTACTAACTGTGGTTTGTTTTGATCTCTGAATTCACGAAGAGCAGTTCGTTGCGTAGCATTGCCCCTCATTGCCAATTGGACATAGATATGAGCATAGGGGATTGCTGGCATGGCATAGTGGTTAGAAAGTTGAACTAGTATTTGGGACACAACCGAGTCTGAAATCTCATTCTGCTTGCTGGATCACCTTGGGCCAGTCACTATCTCTCTTGGCTGAATCCACTGCATTGGGATGCTTGTTTTGAGGATAAAATGGAGGAGAGAAGCACGATGTTGTAACCTGCTTTGGGTCCCCAGTAGGGAGAAAAAACTGGTTTATAAATATAATAATAATAATGGGAGACAGGCAAGAAGAATTTGTTACTTGTCTCCGGTAGACTAACTAGTGTTTGCAAGAGTTGGAGCAACCATGGTTTATCTTGATGTCCAAATGCAGCCTTGGGTTTCCAGCACGTGGCTTCCATTCTCCTCCTTTGGATACACTACAGAAGCAGCTAATTAATATGTTCAAAGTACATTTAGGAACCTTTACTTTGAAAAAAAATGAATGGATTCCAAAATGAGAAGTATCCAGTACATAAATACATAGAAAACAACATTGTCAGAGGAAACTGAATAGATGGTTCATCAGAAGATGAATGTGCCTAATTTTCCCTAGAAGTTATAAAAGGTGGCCGGTTTTGGATGATTCTAGCATTATGTTGTCTTTCTTATTTGTCCCTTAGCTTAGCTTCTCATTCATTAATAGAAGGAATAGGTGGGACTTAAGTTATTTTTTTCTATGGTTAACTTTATCTTATTCCAGGTTTTGGGGTGAACATTACATGACAGCTTATGTTTGCTTTTAGCAACTTCATGGAAACAGTGCACTATTCACAGATGCGTATGAGCTTAAAGAGGACATTGGTGTTGGGTCCTACTCTGTGTGCAAGCGGTGTATCCACATAGCTTCAAATATGGAGTTTGCTGTGAAGGTATTTATGGAACTGCTTACTATAAATCTGATAACTGTCTGTTGCAACCCATGTGGAATTTACCAACCTTCAGTTTTAAAGTTCTTGGAGGTATTTCCTCAGCAATAGTTGATTACCTGATATGTGGCCTCATAACAAGAACTAGCAAATTTGTAAAATTTAGATCTAAAACTTTTGATGCAGGACCCCCCCCCAAAAAAAAACCACGTGCTTATAAAGTTGATGAACTGCAGACATTGCAATTGGTGTGTAGACTTGTTCTTGTACCTGAGAAAGTAAGCTGTGAGTTACAAACATTGGTATGCTTTGTTGAAGTTAGAGTAGGTCTCTAAAGTGCCATAATGCTCATTCTTTGTGTCCTGTAAACCAAAGGCAAACACGGCTACTTGAAAATATTTTGGGGGGGGGCCTGCCTGAGCTATATAGGAGCTGCGGTGGCTCAAGTGGTTAAGATGCTGAACTGCAGGCAGTGGAAGGTTAGTAGTTCAGCAGTTCGAGACCCGAGTGTGCCGCATGATGGAGTGAGCTCCCATCTCTAGTTCCAGCTCCTGCCAACCTAGCAGTTCAAAAGCAAGAAATTGCAAGTAGATAAATAGGTACCACTTCAGTGGGAAGATAACAGCGTTCCGTGCGCCTTGGTGTTTAGTCATGCCGGCCACATGACCACGGAAACGTCTTCGGACAGCGCTGGCTCTTCGGCTTTGTTACGGAGATGAGCACCACAACCCTAGATTCAGATTCGACTGGCTTTCGAGCAAGGGAACCTTTACCTTTACTTACCTGAGCTATATAGTATAAAGCTGGTTTTAAATTGAAACTGATAAGAGGGCAATGCTGATTTGTATTTTACGGCTTTTCAATCTTGATAAGCTTTACATGAACAGAGTGGCAGTCAGATTGTAGATCTCCACTATGTTGCTGTGTCCCACTCAGATTATTGTGCCATGTAATTGTTGCAGTTAGCTATCAGCTGATGTAGTCAGTTCTGTGCAGTTTGTCTGCAGCAGTTACTTGGCTTTGTCATTACAACTGTGATTCAGTTCTGTTTGCCTGCCTGTTGGTTGATCTACAGAGGACTGCCGTCTGTTACAAAGTAAGATTTCAGTTGACTAAATGTTTAACAAAATACAGTAAATAACATGATCAGTAGGGTGTAACCGTTTATGCCATTTGACTTTTCTAGATCATTGACAAAAGTAAGAGAGATCCCGCCGAAGAAATTGAGATTTTAATGCGCTATGGACAGCACCCCAATATTATTACTTTAAAAGATGTACGTATTCTGGTTTATATTGTGTTTCAGAAACCAGTATTAAGCACTGCTACAAGTAATGCCCTCTAGCTCTCTCTCCATTAGAATGTAGAGAAGTCAGCCTTCTTGTAACAACTGACAGTATTCTTCATTGAAATACTCAATACCTTCTTTACAATTATAGAGCATTTATGTAGCAGTGTTAAGTGGGTTCAAAACGTATGTAAGACACATGAACCTAAGTACTCAGGTACTGGATGCGATGGCTTGACTATAGTTTCTTTGATTCACATGTAGTACTGGCACATTGAAATTAACATCAGGTTTTTTAAAAAAAAATACTAGGGGCCCTGAAATGTGCACTTGTGCACAAGAATAGAAACTATAAAGACAGAATAAGAAGATAGCTTGGTTAGTGGTCAAGCACTTGAGTTTAGTGAAGTTTTGCTCTGAAATTGCTCTAAAAGTTTGTGAATGGTAACAGGCAGCATGATGAAAGGTCTGAGAAACATATCAGAGAGAACGTGTATTTCATCCGGATGAGAAAATGGTGGATTTGAGTGTGTATATATGACCTCTGTTCCCCTCTGCTTGGGAACCTGTATTTACCACGCACACCCATGTGTATTAGATGTAATCAGGTGCCAATAACACAGCTCTGAAAACCAGACTCATCTCCGTTATCTGGTGGGTATGCTCTTGAGATATGCATGTCCAGGAACTTCCATACACTGATGAAAGAGTTGCTTGGGACATGATAAATATGTGTTTGAAACCATTTGATTTTGGTGGTAATCAGGAAGAAATCCACTTTTTCCCCATTTAGCGTGTTCTGTGCCATAAAGCAAACAATAAGTATGAAGTGTAGATGATCAGCCTAAGGTCTAACTTGGAGTGCAGTCCACTGGATTGCGCACATCTTCGCTGCCCTTTCCATATTCCAAAGTGTCTCTCCTTCTTACTCTGACAAGCTTAGTTTGAGCATTACATGCAATTATTGCAGAGAGTTAGGTTCAGTGTAGATGTGCTCCCAAATTCACTTTGAGAATTCTGAGGTAATCCTGTGGTCCTTGTTGGAATGTGTTCTGCATATTCATGGGTTAAGTGATGCATATTTTTCTCTTGTGCTTTCAGTACCTTGGGAATGTTTGTGATACTCAGCTTTGTTAATCTTCTACAGGTGTATGATGATGGTAAATATATTTACCTTGTCACTGAATTGATGAAAGGAGGTGAGCTGCTCGATCGTATTCTCAGACAAAAGTATTTCTGTGAACGGGAAGCAAGTGCTGTGTTGTACACTATCACCAAAACAGTTGACTACCTTCACTGTCAAGGAGTAAGTTATGCTGTATATGCTGATAGCTTTGAATGCTGATAGCTTTGAATGCTGTATAATAACTGTAACAAGTTCTTGTCCATGTACCATCTTGAAAAGTATATTATTAACTTTTTGGGAGTAACTAACACCACTGTTAACTTAAAACAAGGTACTAGCTGACAGTTAGCAAGATACAGTATTGGTTGGTTAGACAAATGTAAACTCAGAAATTACTGTGCAGTCCTGCACATTCCAACCTAAGATTTCAGTGGGCTTAGACTGGAGTAACTGTGCGTAGGATTACAGTGTTGGTAATTTATATTAGGCAGGTGCCTGTTGTGTTATGTTAATTGTAATACTCCTGTGTCTGAAGTGTTTACCAGTGTGTGTGTGTTTTTAAGGTAGTGCATCGAGACCTTAAGCCCAGTAATATCTTGTATATGGATGACTCCAACAATGCTGACTCTATCAGAATTTGTGATTTCGGTTTTGCAAAACAGCTTCGAGGGGAGAATGGGCTTCTCTTAACGCCTTGCTACACTGCCAACTTTGTAGCACCAGAGGTGTGTGGAATTTCACGTTTATTTTTGTACATATCCCTAATATCATCTTAAAGAAAAGTTGACATTCTCTACTATATTACATTGTCTGTTCATTCTAAATTACCACATTTGTAGAGACCTGTTCTGATAAGTGAAAGCAGCTGAAATATGAAATGCAGCAATTGAAATGGTTGAGTTCATTCAGAATTTTAAAGCAAATGTACAAACCTAGATTTATATATGATTTTTTCCTATTACCTATAAGAGTAAAAGCTTCAGAAAAGGTAGCTGCTATATTTAAACATCTTCTCACCTTGGTCTTTACAATGATGTAATGGTGTGTTCCTATCTGTTTGTTAGGTTCTCATGAGACAGGGATATGATGCTGCTTGTGATATATGGAGTTTGGGTGTCCTCCTGTATACAATGTTGGCTGGGTAAGAAGCATTTGGTTTTGGGTTATAGCAGTTAATGTTCGTATTTAGAACCTGCACATTCCTCACTTTCATAGGGTTAATATACTGGCTGGTATTTTGTATGAATTTTGACAGCCAGATACTAAGATCATTAGTCTTGTACTTAACATCCTAATTACTGGCCAAAATCCAGAGAATCGTTAAACTAGTTCAGTGAACTCATAACAGCTTTTAGACTCCTTTTTCCTTCTAGCAACTGCTCTAAGCTGTCTGACTCCCAGCTTTTGAAAATTGGCAGACAGGGTGGTGGTGGTGGTTCAAAAACTATTGAGGCAGACTCAGCATGGGTTCTGTAAGGGAGTGAACAAACATGTGAACAAGGGGGACCCAACAGATGTTGTTTACCTTGACTTCCAGAAAACTTTTGATAAAGTTCCTCATCAAAGGCTCCTAAGTAAGCTCAATAGTGTAAATATAAAAATATTTTTTTAAGCACTTCTAAAACCTTTCTTCAGTTTTCAACTATAATCAGTGCAGCCGTGGCATAATTACTTTATCTGAAAATGTTGGCCCCTTCTTGAATAAGATGTTGTCATGAAGTCAGTTTGATTTCGTTATACTACTATAGGCTGTGGGTAAAGAGCCACATATTGACATATTAGTATCAGGTAAGATGGGAAAACTTCTTTTATGTTTTTCTGAAATTATATATTATGTTCTGATATGATAACCTGTCCTTTTGGTAGCTTAAGCTTTTTTAAATGTCATCAAGGTGGCCAAAACCATTTTTTCCTGTCTTTTCTAATTTGAGCTGTAAGTTGTGAACCAATTGACCAATTTCACATTTTAAAGCACTGTAGGAATGTTAATAAGTTATCCTACAAATAACTAATACTAACTATGCCTCTATCCATTACCATTTTATAATATAAAGCATAAATCAAGGACAAAGTCACATTTTTTTCACATTTTGTATGGTTTACTGCATAAGATGCTTTACATAATCTAGATAAAGTATATTAGACCATTATAGCTTATTTTTTACCTTTCCAAAGAGCCATATCATAAAGCAATTTATTGTGATGTGCTATAGTTAGGCAGATGAGAAGGGATCCACATTTTATGTGATTTTAATCCCATGTAACTGGGTAGTAGGTAACTGTTACTGCAAAAGAAGCACCCTTCAGTTTTGTGAGGTAAGCAACTGTTCACTATGCATATTTTTTTTATTTACAAATTTTGCATTATCATTATTTCATGACAATGTATGTTAGTAGTATTGTGTTATAGCCTCAGTTGTGGCTTCTTTTGTGTTTATATTTATATTTATGTTATATATGTCTCTTTGGAGCTATAATAACATGGTTGCTATGATGATGGGGAGAGGAGGCCCATAAGAGAAAGAAGGGAAGGAGCCCGAGGAATGAAGGAAAAGTGTTCCAGAGCTGGGGTCCCCCCCAATTAGAATACAAAAATATCTGTGGTGAAATAGACCCATCAAGAAAAGAAAGCATGATACCATAGAAGCGACCCTGTATGGACTATATGTATGGGCTGTATTATTCACTGCTCTGATGAAGCATTAAATGGAAGATTGGTATCCCCTCAAATCCCTGAGTTGTGGAAAATATTATTGAAGGTGTCAGAAACCACAAAACAATTTTAAGGGTTGCAGAAAATTTAGCAGAGGGTGAAATACCTTCATTGCTGTGTCATAGGAAGTTTGTTTACAATGAAGTAGTGCTTGGATGCTGTCACTGCCAAAAGGAACACTACTATTGAATCTAGGAAAGAGGAGCATGCTCACAAAGGGTCTTGTGGACAAAGAGCATACTATAGTGTATGAGGCTAAATGCATCTTCTGTGAGGGGGAAAAACAAAGAAACCCAAGCATCGTAAAGGACAAAAAACAAGAGAATCTCTCATTCAGCGTTGTGAACTACATGCAGATGCCAGTATTAACAAGTGCAGCCATTAAGGAACTGGATACAGGGATGATTGCCATTGTCAGCAGAGGCCTTGTAGCTGCGGAAGCTCACTACCGCTGGTCTCGTTATTGCATTGACACAAAGGAGGAGGCTGCTTGCAACAGTTCAGCCTTCCATGATGGTAACAGAAGTAATGAGGAACTTCTATAGAATGCGGTAGCTAATGAAGCATACAAAGAACATTTTTCATTCATAAGGAATGAACTGTTCCATGGACCTCAAGTGATGTGTATGACTGATCTGACTTCCGGATTGATCGCGTCATGAACTCTTCTGGTGTTAACCTTGCAAAAGATTCAAGCAACCAAAAACATTAATTGTGCATTACAAAAGGAGTTTCTTGGAATCTTGCATATTATTTCCTGATGATACAGGAAAACTGCATCTGTATCCTGATAGTCCCTTAAAGGTAAAGGTAAAGGTTCCCTTGCTCGAAAGCCAGTCGAATCCGACTCTAGGGTTGCGGTGCTCATCTCCGTTTCAAAGCCGAAGAGCCAGCGCTGTCCGAAGACGTTTCCGTGGTCATGTGGCAGGCATGACTAAACACCAAGGTGCACGGAACGCTGTTACCTTCCCACCGAAGTGGTCCCTATTTATCTACTTGCAATTTCTTGCTTTCGAACTGCTAGGTTGGCAGGAGCTGGAACTAGAGACAGGAGCTCACCCCGTCTTGCGGCACCCGGGTCTTGAACCGCTGAACTACTGACCTTCCACAGCCTGCAGTTCAGTGTCTTAACCACTTGAGCCACCGCAGCTCCCTTAGTGTCTTAGAAAACCAGGTTCTGAAAAACGAGTTACTTCATTTGAAGTCTGCACTTACTGACAATGTAGTCCTGGCTGGCTTGCAAGTAAGGAATGACATCCAGAATCAAACGTTTTCTGAGCCCTAGAATTAGAAGAAATTAGAAGGTGATTATGATGATAACTGCATTTTAGAATCCGTTACCAAATTCTTGTACACAGCACTTCCTGTAACACAAAAAAGGTGGGTAAGAGCTCCACAAATGTCTGCAGGTTTTGTCTCCTCCCTTGGTCAGGACCTCATGTATGCTGTTATCCATGGCAAAACAAAGCCCCCTGCAGCATATATTCCTTCCTTTAGCCGTAAATTCTCTAACAGGAAATGAAGAACTGATCGAGATTGCTTGGTCACAGTGTTTCATATTCCCAGCTTCAAGAGACTGATACAGCAATCTGCATGCAAAGCTTGCAGTGTCAGAAGAAAAAACATCACACATACTCTACAAGTGTCCAAGATTGTGTGTTTGACCAGGTACAATATGCAAAACCTGTAGGAATCATATGGAAGCTTCCTCCAAAATTTAAGCATACTGTCATAATTAGAATGGGTATATCTCAACTATTTGCAATTTTTTGGCCATCATCAGTAATAGGATACTCAGAGGTTCCCTTGGAAAGACTGTATGTGTTGCCTTGACTGGACTACATGCCTTCACTGGCTGTGACACTTTGAGTGCATTTGCAGGTTGAGGTAAGTTCAACTCCCTTGAAACAGGGTTACCGAGAGCCACCATGGGCCCCCAGGCAAAGATTCTGTGTGGCCCATCCATGTGGTCTTGATCCAAACAAAATATCATAGCAAAACAAATCACTTCACCGGCTGTTACCATGCATCAGTAATGATAAAAGGATCTGCATGTCCATCTGTCTGTCCATTTGTGGCAGGCAATGTAATTCATTAGAAAATAAAATCAGAAATCTCAAAATTTGCCACCAGCTTCAGAATGATCATGGGATTTCCAGGGCCAAAAATGAAAGTAATATTCTGGCCTAGGTTATCTCCAGGACCCACCCACCCCGCATCCTATTTGTAATGGAAGCTAAGCTTGTATAGTGGTTAAACTGTTGAACTAGGATCTGGGAGACCCAGGTTTAGATCTCCACTCTGCCATGGAAGCTTGCTGGGCAACACTGGGTCATTGACACACACTCAGCGTAACCTGCCTCACAGGGTTGTTGTGAGGATAAAGCAGAGGTGAGAAGACAAGTGTTAAGCCACTTTGGGTCTCCTTTGGTGAGTAAGGCGAGATATAAATAAAGTAATAAATATTCTAACTTCTGGTCCTCATTTGTCACCACTAAGGCAGATTGACATTCTATTATGACACATGTAAAGGGGAGAGGGGGGAAGCATCCTTTCACTATTTTTTAAATTTAAGATTTTATAAACGATGCATATATTACATACTACTAACCACACCCAAAATAGTTCTATTTACAAATTATCAGAATAAGACATCAGATTCCAAATCTGTAGAAACAAAGCAGTACCATACTCACATCTTATAAAATTATACACAATTATATTACTATTAAAGATTTTTAAGTTCTTCGAAACCACTTCAAGTTGCACCAAATACAATGGACCAAACTTCAACAAAGGGACTGCACAAGAAAGCGTGAAAAGCTTCAGGGAGCTCCCTGCCACTCAGCTGGTTGTGCAGCTTTTGTCAGGAACAGGAAGCAGGGGTTTAAAGGGACTCAAAGTCCCTTTTCTGCTCTGTGCATATCATGCTTTGAAAGTTCATGGAACTTTGTGACAGTAAACCCGTCGTGAACATCGGTTCGCGAACCATGAACAGGGCAAAATTTGTGATGAATTTCGCTTTGTGCCCATCCCTAGTAACCAGACCAAAAATGTGGACTTTGCAGTTGATTGTGAGGGCTCAGAAGATGACTACTGTGATGATGAACATTAAAATAAGTTGAATAATATATTACATGCTAGGTATTGTGAAATGGTAATGTAACATTTGAAAATAAAAACATACACGTTGAAATATTGAACAGTTGCTGAACTCACACAACTCTAGGGTATTTCTTCACAGTAACTCAGAGTACCCAATTTTCCAGTTACGCTGGATAAAGATCACATACATTGATCTGTTCTTCTGTGCCTACCTATGGCATATCAAAATGAATTTCTTCATGCTTTGGCTTTTTGGAAAGGCAAAGAATAAGATCCAGTTTTCTGTGTGGATTACATAAAGCATCATAAGTTGTTAACCGTATAAAATTGTGGGGGAGGGAATGGAACTTTTACTTGACTTATGCCATATATCACAAAAATGGTAATGGATGGAGGCATTGTCAGTATTAGTTATTTGTAGTTTTAAAGCAATAGTGCTTTAAAATTTGAAATTGGTCCGTTGGTTTGCAACTTACAGCTCAAATAGGACAAGGTAGGAAAAATTAGCTTCAGTAATCTTGATGATATTAAGAGCTTAAGCTACCCATCAGAATGGGTTATCATCTCCAAACATAATACATAGATATGCATAGGGAAGATTTACTGACATCTGGTCTGACCCATGGACTATTACTGAAGGTAGAGGAAACTAGTTCACACTGAGCTGATTCCGTATTGCCTTCACTCTGAAATAGCTTCATTTGCTCTCTAGCATCTCATGACATGGCCAAATATGGTTGCCTACATGATGTCATGGTCTCGGGAACTTAAAACGGTGCCCCGGCTGTGGCCCGTTGGGTGTCTGAAGAGTCTCACAGTGGAGCTCTGCTGCCAGCACCTGAATGCTGTGTATGGATGAGGCAACTTGAGGTGCCTTCTCTCTGCAGCCGTGTTTCCCTAGCTCAGTCCTGTTAATAGTGAATTCAAGAATTTGCACATCATAATTCTTTCTTTCCTATTCAAACTTAGGTATACTCCTTTTGCCAATGGCCCCAATGATACCCCTGAGGAAATCTTGCTACGAATAGGAAGTGGAAAATTTTCGTTAAGCGGAGGCAACTGGGACACAGTTTCAGATGCAGCAAAGGTGTAAATAGATTTCATTTTCTACCTTACAAGAGTGTAAAAGCAAATGTGTGAATGCAGTAGAGTAATGCACGTGGCAGAGACCAACAATTTAAACATGCATCAAATTGGTGTAGAAAATTCTCATGGCCTCCTTGTTTGCGATATACCGTGTTTCCCCGAAAATAAGACACTGTCATTTTTATTTTTTTTCTCAAGAAGACACACTAGGGCTTATACCACAAATGCATAGAAATCCTGCTAGGGCTTATTTTTGGGGTAGGTCTTGTTTTCGGGCAAACAGGATAAGTGTTGCTTTCAAAATAAAATTAACACCTGGCTTTAGACATCTGTAAATCTTGGCTGCAAAGGGTTTTGATGGAAGTAGACCAAAGGAGTTGTTTTAGAATTCCTATTGCATGAACTTCAGTTACATGAATTCTGTACTTACATTTCTGCTTAACGTGGCTTGATCATGTCAGTTGTGATCACATTTATCTTGACTTTTGTTTATCTTGTCTTTTTGTGGCAGCTGATGCATGAGATTTTTACTGTGCTTTCTCCTCTGAAATCAGAGTACACAATAGGATTTTCAGTGTGGGCATGTCCTCAAACAAAAAACGTGTGATAAAAGAAATGTGAAGCTAACAGTGTATACATTAACTGTATACAGAACCTTCTGTTAAGAATTCTTTACTATGCCAATTTTCAGCCATTGTCTTTAGAGAGATTTATATTTATTTTGTTTGATTTATATTCCGCCATATTTATTTATTTTGTTCAATTTATATTCCGCCCTCCCCGCATGGGCAGGCTCAGGGCAGTTTACAACAGATTAAAATATAATACAATACATACAATAAAACATAGATGCATTAAACAATGCAATAGTATAACATTCAGACAATCAGATTGATATATAAAGTGCTGTTGCATGTAGATGGCGATAGCGTCTTATAAGGCCATTTTATGATGGTACTATGTGGCCATACCGGTATCATTAGCTGTTCTTATTACTAGTCATGAAAGTCCTTTGAATACACAGATCTGACTCCCTCTGAACTCAGTGGCTGAGTCTTTGCAAGGCAGAGGTTAAATCAGTTGATTAGTTCTATTGCTTACTGTTACTCAGCTACTGCTAGCATTAAAACCTGTGCAGGATTTCGCTAAGGCCAGCAGAATCAAATATAATTTGTTGTGCTCCAGTCTCAGTCTTCCAAATCTCGTCATCCTGTTTGGTTGTAACTGTTGTCTCCGTTTAATTTACTTTACTGTAGGATTTGCTATCTCATATGCTTCATGTAGACCCACATCAGCGATATACTGCAGAGCAAGTTCTGAAGCATTCATGGATAACCTGTAGAGATCAGTTGCCACACTATCAACTGAACAGGCAAGATGCACCACATCTAGTAAAGGTAAAACTGGTACCCATCTTTCATTCTCTTTGGAAGTTTGGTTTTATTCTTGTAGATGACAATCTGATGATCTCTGAACTTAATTGTTTTGCAGGGGGCCATGGCTGCCACATATTCTGCACTGAATCACAAGACATTTCAGCCTGTGTTAGAGCCTGTCGCGGCTTCCAGCTTAGCTCAACGGCGAAGCATGAAAAAGCTAACGTCAACAGACTTATAGATCCACTGGGAGTACTTAGCCAAAGTGGAACAAGGGGTGGGAAATCCAATAAGTGGCTCAGTGTCTGCCTGGCCTGTGATTTAAAAGGCATATACAAGTTTCTCCTACACTACTTGAATTCTGTTGCGGGGGGGGAGGACACCAGTCCAGGGGGATTCATAACGTGTTCTGCAGAAGTGTTGGTGGTTCATCAAAGCAAAACACCAGGGTGCATCGTGAAGATTTTGAGGAATTTCTATATGCTGTCCTCTTCAGAGATCCGCTGCATTATGTTTATAGTTTTTAATACTGTATATTTTCCCCAGTTCCTAAAGAAATGGTTTAGGGGACCATTAACAATGCCTGAGCTGTAAATTTTAAAGGAGGAAAAAAGAATAACTGGTGTTTAGTATTTTTACCGTCTGGCCCTAATGTAATAAAAACCAGCAACAAACTTTAAGCTCTATAGTTTTATAAATTGGTCACTTAGCGATGGAGGACATTCATTTAAATGAGTGGTAGAACAGGACAAGGCTAATCAAAAAAGGATGCGTCAGTGCAAAATGTGTTAGCATTTATAGGAAGTCTAGATGAGACTGGGTTCAGGCAATGTGTTTCTGAAGATGTACGCTTCAGTTATAATGTGAAAGCCCCTCCCTGAATGATAGATAATGTGAGGCTCCCGAGGGGTAGGGGTTGTTAGGGCAAGAACAATATGTAGGTGACATCTCCACCCGTTGGAGAGGTTTTCAGGAAAAAGCCTCTAGATATGCATTAGGTATAGCATAAGGCATTTAGGGCCAGGGGTTTGACCTAGTTCAGTAGTCTTCAACCGTATCACACTGCAGAGTTGATCAAAAGGTTCAATTTAAACTGCTTTCTGTATATGACCATTTCTCTCTAGTGTTGAGTTTTAAAAGCTAAAACAAGGAAAATGCAACTGGTGCAGTCCACCTAAGGCCATTACCTGCTTGTGACTCCTGACAAATCAATTGAAGACCAGTGAACTAGACGGGCCACTGAGCTCCTTCCAACAATGTGGGTCTTCTGTGATAAAGATGTTTTTTCCGCTGTCAAGTGTAACTTTCTGTAAACATGGTCTATGCCTTTTTGGTTAGTATAGAAGGGCTGTTCCGTTACCTGCACTAAGGCTTCAAGCCCTCCAGAATGAGAACCTCAACAACAGCAACAGAAGTCTGGACATTGACTCATTAGCTACCGGTAGCTCGTGCATCCCATAGGAGACCCAGGAAAAGATCATGAAAAGCTCTAGGCCTCTCTCCCCTTTCCCCCCCGCGATACTGTTTCATAGGATTTGTCTCTGTGCTGCTTAGCTGATAACTTCATTGCTGGTGCTCTTCTTACTTAGGATGGAGCAAGACTTGGTAATGTGCTGGGGGAGGGGGTAGCTTGAGAAATTTTTCCATTATTCAGAAGTAGTTCTCATTAGAGAAAAGTTTGGTGACCCCCACTTTTAAAGAAGTCGTTGAGCTACCTCGGTAATCCACTGTGCTGTTTCCTTGGTTCTCCTTTTCCCACATGACCTGGTTATCGCTCTGGCAGGACTATTTTGTGATGTGAATAGTGGTTAATCCTCCATGAATTATAAAACAATAATTTCATATCACGGGGCATACTTCACCCTTATTTTTATTTATTCAGACTTTGTAGGAAAAAAGCTGTCATTTTTTAGTCATGTTATAAAAATGATTACAAAGAAATGCTAATATTCATGTCTTATTTTTAATCCCCTATAGCTACAGAATAAGTTCCAAACATCTTCTAGATCTCCCCCCCCCAAAAAAAAAATCTATGCAGAAGCCTTATTTTCAAGAGATGAGAACTTCTCCTAGTGTGTGTGTAGTGCAAAGGAATGCATCCTGCTGCTGTTGTTTTGTTCAGGCATCACAGCAGGTCTTAAATGCTGTAAGGGTGTCTTAGGCAGGAAGTAAATCTAAGATATTATGCAGGGAAACAGAGCAGTTAATTCACACCCTCCTTAGTTAGGGGTAGATTGCAAACTGGTGTGTCTCTCTTGAGTTGTGGTTTTAAGATTTTCACATTTCTGTAAGCTTCAGCCTGGGTTTCATATTGGTTCTACAATATCTGGTTTCTAGAATATGCGTGTGAAATTGTATATGTCACACATCCAAAGGAGGACAGCTCCAGTATTGGCAGTGCCCCATTGCAAGACCAGATTACTGTTAGTCAAAAATCTTTTTTGATTGTGACCTCCTGGAATAGCTCCTTAATGCAAGCAGGTAGAGGAAGGTAGAGTTGAATACGTGTGATGTACTTACTAGTGTTTAGAGTATCATTAAATGTCTGTTTTTGTTGTTGAATGGGGATGCTTCAACTAGGAATAACAAAGTTAACAAAGTAATTTAGAAAATATGTCATCTGGGAATAACAAAGTAATTTAGAAAATATGTCATCTCATTGAAATACACTGTATGCTAGCCTTTCAACACAAGGAATACGAGGAAAGGGCAAGGCGGTTTGATTTTTCCCTCCCACCTGTTCCCAAGTCATCCGTGTAATAATGTGACTACTTGAAGCAACAAAGCCTGCTGATGATATTAATGAGCTAAGTCTGTAAGAGGCCAAAAGGTAATCTTAGAATCTCATCGTAACATTAGAACAGAGCAGCAGCTGAAATCGCACATTCAGTGCAAAGTCATTCACACTTGTAGATATGCTTACACCATGTCAGATATAGAATTGACTATTGCTGCTGGGTGCAGGGGTAGAAAAGATCTTGGAGTGCCCATGCAAATAGCAGTTTACTGTGGTACAAAAAGCTAATTGGATGTTAGTGTTGTTTCATTGTAGATACATGGTGTTCTTGGTTCCACAGAGTAAGTAATGGAAAATAGTCTTATCAATCCATCTTCTGCTTATGTAAAAAAGTGCTGTGTGTCATTCAAAAGGTACACTGTTTAGAGCTGTACAGAACTCTTTAATGGCCAGGATAGAAAAAAGCATATTTAGAAAGCCAAACTAACTAATGGAATTATGTACTTTAGTCAGTGATCACAAAATCACCACTGAGTATGTTGGTCAGCTGCCTTGAATCTGAAGATCTGCTTCGGCAGGGAGGGCGAATAAATAAGAGATAAGGTAGGATATAAATGTTTTAATTAAACTACAGCTTTGGCGATTTCCATTTCGAAGTGGATCAGGAAAAGTCACAGTGTGCACCTCCCATGAAAAAGATAGACATGACGGATTATATACAGACTTCTTTTCTGAAGAGGACCTTGTCGGTCAAGGGTCCCCCAGCCTTTCAAGCCGACCGGTATATTTGGGATTCTGAAACAGGGTGTTGGGTTCCGCCATCAGATGGCTGCCATAGGAGGCCGAGCCTACCACAACATGTCAGGCAGTGAGGTCAGGCATAAGCCTAATCATAACTCTTCAGTATTTCAGGCAGAAGCTCTGTTTAACAGGACGTCTTTTAAAATGGGCATAGTTTAAAAGATATTGCATACACACGGCTTACCTTGAGACATGCAGTGAAGATCCTTGTGCTGTGGTGCCGGCTGCTGCCAAAGCGACATTTAAAAAAAAAATCTGTACAGCCAGTTAGAAGACCTGGGCAAAAAACCCTTGTGCCCCCCTCTGCTCTCTAAAACACTTGGTGGGTGCCAGGAAAGGTATTGGGCAGGCACCTACAGAAACCATGGTCAGGACCCCTGCTATTGGCAGATCATCTTTTTTGATTAGGATGGTGCTAAGAGATCCATCTAAATGTGCTAAATTGCCCTTAATCCTCGGATTGTGAAAAAGTAGGAGAAAGATGCTGCGGAATGAAGCTTGTGCTAAATGGTGCACTTTGTGCACCCGGATTTGGCTGTTCATCGGATAGGATTCAGTACTGAATGGACCACTGGTCTAATCAAATGCAACTCTTCTTATCCTCTTATGCCTGAGTGTGAATAAACTGCCTTATTCAAAAGCTTGATGGGCACTTTTATTGCTGCCACAAAGGGCATGGTTGACTCCTGCCTTGTGATTCCCAGACGCTCGTTCACTAAACTGAGTTACAGGGCAACCCTAAATAGAATTATACTTTTCTTGAAAGAGTATAGCTCTGCTTAGAATGACACTGTGAGAACCCTCATTCTACCTTTAAGCATACATTTTGCTTCCTTAAAGCCTTGTTCTCAGTTGGTCACAAGCCCCCGAAGAAGCGCCGGTGATATGCAGTCAGAAGGGGACCCCCCCCCTCCCATGGTAGTATGAACTGATGCCTCCATGTGTGGTGTATGGCTCTCCTTTTCCAGGCTGTAGCATTGAAAGAAATCATAGCAGTCCATAAGAACTTCCAAGCCCTAATCTCAGAAGTGGGCCTGTGTACTCCAGAGGTGCCTACCTGGTAAATACCACTGGCTTGTGAGAACAGGCCATGGTTGGGAGTTAAATTTAGTAGTATGTTATGGACTAATTAATCCCGGTTAAATAAATTTAATTTGTGCATTCTGTGGTTCAGTTGTGCCTATGTGATATGGGATGTTTCCCTTTCATCTCAGTTGTACATTTTGGGTTGTTTCTTAAAAGATGTGTGTCTTTCCTAGAAATCTTATTTTTGGGGAACCGGTGTATGGAATGAAAACAGAAGCCGCATGAATTGCCGCCAAAACAAATGATGAAACGTGTGGAGAGTGGAAGTAATTACAACTTCAGGGTATTTAAAGACTCAGTAAAAGTCCTCTCACTAACAAGTGATTCATCCCTTAAAATGTGTAATGTGTATGACAAAACTGATTATGATGCCACAGAACATATTCTAAATAGTATGGTCATGCACTGAGGTCTTCTTTTCTCAAAGATTTGTTCAACAAACTAATTTTGTTCTGGCAGTCTTCTAGCTAATTAAACTGAACTTTGACCACGCTCCAGCCTACATAACCCCCCATATTTTTTCAGAACAGGATGTGCAGAATCGCTGATGTTGAGAAGTAGCTTTAATCAGTACACTTTGCTGCTTCTACCAGTTTCCACACACACCCCCACACAAACACCTGTTTCCCTTGCATCCTGCCTCACTGCACCTTGGCCAGTGTCCTCTCTGTGACACCATCAGTTTGCCAAGACTGAAAGCTGCCTGTAAAATTGGGTAAGCTTTTCAACCTATTTCATCGCTTATCAAAAGTCAACCAGTAGCCTTAACCCCACCCCCACCCCACCCCGTGGTGTGTATGTGATGGGGAAGTGGGATCTGTGGGGGATATAGGTATCTCTACAAGTCCTGCTTGGTGTAGTAGTTTGTCTGAGCGGTCTTCTGAAAGCATAGCCACCCCTGTAAGTTGGGTGTTAACTGTAATCTGTATTTTGGGCCACATTTTTTTCTTAAGGGTGACTTAACAAAAATTAAGATGAAGTACAGCCAACTTTCAGTGGTTAAGAATACACTGATAGTTATATCCAGTATCTTGAGGGCCTTCCCCCTCTGCACCTTTTTCCTGATATGAAAAGGCCCCAGGGAGATATAACTTATCCTATCAAGGGATCCATGTGGGCACACAGTTTCCGCACTGGAGCAGTTTCAGGCCAGGAAAATGGTGCAGTGGGGAGATTTACGTCCCCTTTCTCCTCTGTGCCACAATTTGTGTGCATGCCTGGGGTTAAGTTCCACCCCCAAATTTTGCAGTACATGTTTGATTGTTCAGACCTGGAGAAAATGTAATGTAGGACTTTAGTTGAAATGGCTTCTTTGCAAATGTAACAAAGTTAACAGCAGCATACAAATTCTTCAGTTATGGTTTGGATGTACACAGGTGCACCAATTAAACTCTGGTTTGGGGAAGGAAACCCCTGTAAAATGCATCTTGTGTAGGAATGAGGAGGAGCCCTAGCTGGTTCTGCGATTACTTGAGTTACCCAGATCAAGATAAAATGAGTTTTGCTTTTATATAAAACAGTAGCACTTGATAAATGGGAGCTGTACAAGCAGTTTGTTATTAAAAAGCAAGTCCTTGTAAATACCTCCTTTTACAAAGTTGCTTCTAATTTTAGTGTTACATTCAGGGATTATTTTATGGTCCAATAGGAGGTATATTTTTACCTCTATTTAGACTAGTCCTGTACAGATTTGCATTCAGTCTGCAGTCGGCTGTACTACTCTTCTCTGTTAGTTACGAGAGGAAGTGTCTCCTGCCTACAGGCTGATTAAAGTTACGCCTGTCTTCTGGGAAGGTCTCCTGCCCCGTGGCAATTGTGTGAGTCCTTGCACAGTTCCCCTTCTCTTCGGTGGACCTAGCACAAGGAAGGTTCCAGTGGGTTTGAGCGCCGCACTTTGTGTGACAATGGACATTTGCTCCCGCACTGCAGTGTTGTTAGTGAGACAATAATAAAATGTAGCTGTTCATTTCTACTTTAGTCCTATTAGCATAGTGATACTGAGTAGCTGAAACTACTCATCGGTCCATGTTAAAATATTAAATTGAAGTCAAAATCTGGGTTGCAAAGCTTTGGAGAAGGTATGATTCAATGCGATTTTAAATTTAAATGAGCAGCTTCACTAATGAGATGTTTTCAATATAGTTCTAGTATACAATCTTCAGAAAGCTGGGTTCCCCCCCCCTTAAGTTGAAATCGTTTGAATAGTTTGCTGAAGAAACAAGCAAAAAATATTTGTGTCTGGGATAGACGTGTTTCAAAAGATGAGGTTGGATCCCAAGGATTGTGAGCACTCATGGTATAGGTCTTTCCCACCACCCCATCTTCAGTGCCTCTCTATCATTCCCTGAAATTCTCCTCCTGAGGGGTTACTCTGACCCTCAGGAACAGAGTAGGG